AGTTCAATGTCTTTGACCTCATAATTTAGTATAAAGTGAAAAATTAGAACACGGTGAGTGATAATAAAATATTTATCGCTATAACTATTTATATGGATGTGCGTAATATATCTTTTGTATTGTGCTTTGTACAATTATTTATAAGTGGGATATTTGCATGCGGACACAATTGCTGGAAAAATAAACAAGCGCAACAAAAGTGCGATTTAATTTATGGTGTTGGTTGTTGGTCCGGCTATGTAGATAATTCATTTTCGTGATTTTACAATTGCCATTGGTGTAATATTTATCAAAAAGGTTTAGATGACGACATTGTAATTTGGGAAAATGACAGATTATCATTTTGCCAAAATTGTATAAAGCTACATCCAACATTATTACAGACCTGTGTTCCACCCGATGCCTACCCTTCTGAACAAGTTTTATAACGTGTGTAAAATACGGTTCAGACTATTGTAATTAAATTCTTTAACATAAAAAATAGTCGACAGATTATAAACTATTAAAATTATAGTGTTCGGTTTGTTTGTCTATTTCCTTTTGTTTATTATGTTCATTTATCCGAGAACGTAACAAAACGAGTCGGTTTTTTTTTTTCATTTATACTCGTTCGGCGTTCGTATATTCGTAGTTGGTATTATAAAACTGTACGATTGCCGGCCACTGATTGCTGACCGCCGCCACGCGCTCACATCGGGTGACGGCATTCGTATGTAAATAAAAACGTACAATTGCCATAGATTACTCGCGAACGCGCAATCGTATAACTCTCGTGATTCGAATTTCGTACACGGTTCAAAAACTTGAAATATCATATCATTTGTATTGAAAAAATTAAATAACGGAATAGTCAAGTTGATAATTAGCACGAATGCCAATTCACTTGTTGTGACGGTAAGTATTTCCGGGCCGCCGTCTGCGTGTTTTATTTTCGTTCGAGTGGAGAATCGATGAAAATTAAATTCTTTAAAATAATTTAGTATTCTACGGCGGTCAATTAATTTCATTTAGCGTTCGTACGTTTAAAGCAGGTAGTCTAGAACCGTACGATTACCGGCTGCCGATCGTCGCGCGTTCGACGAGGTTCAACAATGCGCATAATCGTGTGGGGCGGCGTTTGTACTCTTCGTGACTACGAACGACTAAAAAGGAGGCTCGATAAGATAATATTGTAGGACGTATATAATATTAATAATTACTATATAAAAACAATTGTTATGCAATACAAATAAACGTTGCATAACTATTAAAGATTTTTTATGAAATTTGTGTAATCATTTGATAAAAATGTCTCGTGAAATTATAACAATCGTAATGTTTGTTCTTTTTTTATATGCTAAACGTGCGCAACTGTACTAAAATGGAGTAACAAATACAGTATCAAACGCGGTATCAACGGCTATTGCAGACGATTCCGTCACAGACAAGTTTTAGAAATCGCTCTATACCCAATTCAGATTGAAAACTTGTTAAAAACGCAAACATATTATTAACACACGCATTGATATATCTTCATGATTTATTTTAATCTGTGCATTAACCGCCGGTATTTGCACATGGAAATTTGTAATAATCGCGATGTTTTGTTCAAAATAGATAAATACATATTAGATATTTGTACAGGTATATTTTATTGGCATAGCGGGGTCGGTGTCTACGCTGTTTGTTATTTATTGTAGCGCGGCTTCGGGTGTGGCGCGCAATATGATACGATTGTACGGACGACCGTTTTTTAACTACTGCGTGTGATAAACGCGTCAGGAACCGTACACACTGTGCAAAATTCGAATGCCGACGGTCGCCGGTAGTCGCGCACAACGAAGGCCGTCGAACGGAGCAAATACGCCAGCGGTTATGCGAATTATTGCGACGCGTACGACCGCCGTCGGCCGTATTTGTCATAGCAGGACCATCGATTGTGAACGCTAACATTTATAACCAACGGCAGGACCGTACACTGATATTGTGAAACGAAGTTTTGCGCGTCGGATGCGCGGCGCGCGCAAGCGCTACATCGCTACTGTTTGCCGTACGATTGCCGCCATTTGACTTATGAAACTATGATCATAGCATTTCGTTCCATTGGTAACACGCGATTGTTGACATTTACAATAGGTTAAATGCCTGCTACGGCACGTACGAATGCCGTCGGCCGCATGGAATAGTAAATAGTAAACGTGTTTAGAAAAAAAAAAAACCCGGTAACTCGTATCGATTGTAAAATAATTTCACGCGCATATTCCCGAGTTAACAATCGCAGCCGTCGTCAAATCTCAAAATTAAAATTTATTTCACTCTCTAGCATTCGTGGGTAGGTAGGCCTATTGGCATTCGCCAATAGTGAGTGCATTTTAAAAAATTATCATACGATATTACGCATCGTGGATTCGGTTTTTTTTTTTTTTTTTGTAATATTTAAAAACAAACACGCCACCAATAATGAGGATAAAATAACCCAATGGAAAAATCACCCAACGTTATAAATAAAATTATAATCGAACAAAATACAAATAATACAGCAAACAATTAAAAAGAAACCATACGACATCTGTACACACGTACGCACACACTATTTGATCGATAGATTAAGGTGAACAACTCCTTGGGACAACACAACGGCATAACGGCGTTCCGCAGAGGATTGTCAATTGGACCGCGGTCCCCGATCAAGAAACTACTATACACTTTCGCAAAGCGTAATCCATGGCTGCGTACACAGTAGCCGGTGCAATATGTTGCATTACACCAAAGACATATAATATTCAAACGTTTATCCAACAAAACTGTTTAGCAATCAAAAATGTTACCATCCAATTGTCTATCAACGCTTTGTATTTATCATTAAGAATAATTGGTTACGTCTAACAAATGTGTACGTCTAATCTAGGAAATGACAATAAATAACAAACGACTCTTTATGTGTATACGTGTATTTTTTATTTTACACAAGTCAAACTGACGTAATCGTTTTGATCGGTTTGTACGGATCATAATTTTCCAAGACAAAATTTTCATTTGTAAAGTCTTCAATGTTAACCGGTGCATTGATGATTTTCACTGTTGGCTCCTCCGCAGTTCCCCCCTCCCCCCAAAAAAACCGTTTATTTGTTTTTTTTTCATATCATGTAGGATTTTGTTTTTTAGAACTCACCGCGGATATGTAGGCGTCTATAACGTCACACTCTGTATATTTATGGTCCCCGGGGGTGTAAAGGTAACAAAATAATGTCGGGTTAAGTTATTATAAGCGATCTCTCTTCTACGGCGTTCTGCGATCATTTGCCTAAAAATTCGCCGTGCGTGGTGGATTTTTTTTTTAACGGAGCGCTTAATGCTCATGTACTTTTCGAAAAACCTGCGCAACCGCGGCTTCGCCATCTCAGAGAGTTTAGACAATTAGTCGTTTATTTTATTGTCCTTTAAAAACGCATAATTTATTCGTTTATCGATTGTTTAATAAAAATATGTACCCTCGCGCACGGTTTAATTATTACGAATGCGACGACCTACTCAAAACGCATCATTCGTTTCCATCACGCGATCATGTAAATACGCAGTACTCGTCTGGTTCGCTTGTTTTATATGTTCCGCGCAAACTATTAATTATAATACTTTGACTCGCGGAACAACAATAAGTATCGATAATGATATTCAATATCCATATTGGATTACGAAAAACGTACACTTTTATAATGAATAATTATATTATTATATTATGCGTTCCGCGCGATGAAAACGATTTTATTGTGTTACGCGCCATGTCCTATCAATTCTAATTAAAATCAAAGTATACCCGAGTGTGTTTGGGATGGGGGAGGTAATGAATGCGAGATGTCCGTATAAATAAATATTATTATCATAATAATTGTATTACTACCGGTGTTCGGTGTCGTCATCATTTTAATTGTATGCTATATTAACGTCGTCGACGATGTGCGGCACGTAACATTCTAAAACACGACACTGGTGGGGGAGGGGGTGGGAGAAATGCGCGGTACGGCTGTTTTTAATTCGCGTTCATATTATATACGAATATTACCGTTGATTCGGTGACACTCTGAGCGTAAAACAATAATTACAAGGGTACTCCTATGTTATATTTTGTATAAGATAATTTTTAGCTAATAACCGAAATATCGAAATACACGTGCAATTCCGATAAAAAAAAAACAAAGAGACGATACCACAGGTTGTGCATATGCCGACGTTAGAAGTAAGAAGTCCGATAGGCATAGGATATATTAACGTTAACCAAATACGATTCTCAGTGAAGTTCCGCTAAATTTGTATTAAATTACTGCGTGATTTGTAATAAAAAAATCTGTAGAATATTATGAAACTTGTACCGCGTCGATGAAATATCGTCAATATCCTCTAAAAATTTCGCGTCTCTACCACTTTTTCTGACGGAATCGTGACGAAAAAAGGTAATCGAAAATAACAAAACCGTTTTTGTTATTGAACCTAAACTGTGCTGTTTTTCTATGTTTTTTCGAACTATTATAGTTATGGGGAACAAATATAAAAATTCAAAAAAGTACATTTTTAAATTTAGGTCCTCGATTATAAAAAAAAACCCTACCTTGAAAGAATTGGCCGATGTTATATTCTACACATTTCGTCGCTAACGTTACACGGTCCAATAAACGAAACAAACATGTTATTCGTTTGTTATAAATTATTTTTTCAGTAAATTTATAATAAAACGATATAACTATCATTTATAAACTTACATAATTTACTGTACGCTGCAGCATTCAATATTATGTGTTGAATATCATCGTGACACAAGTACCGGTGGATTTGATTTGCATAACTAACAGGTACGTATAAAAATGTATGTGATATATTTTTATTTTGAATATCTTTATTTATGATATTATTAGTTGTGCAATTTTTGTATCTAGAATATTTTTTATACGAAAATCGACAANAACGATTAATATAGTACTACTGGATCATCGGGTGACTCGCGGACATCACTGATACCCATTGTTAAAATGAATAGTAGAAATACTACAGTACCCAATGAATCGGAACGGAATATCGCGGTTCGTAAAATTATCGAAAAGATAACGCGAAAACGTAATTTTCTAGACGCAGAGAGTATTACTGAAAACGAGCCGATTTATCCTAATCAATCAATAAACGCGATCGAAACTAAACGATTTAAAGCCGCTTACTCTAGTGAAAAAAAACCCGATAAACATATTTTTCTTAGCAATAGTGCTAATCTAAAATTATGTAATCGCGTTAAAATTTTACCTAATGTCCACGGTGACAATAAAGACTATTCATTTGTGCGTACCCGAAAACGCGGTTCCGACGTTTCCGATGAACAATGTTCATTAAATAAAAAAGTAAAACTACAAGACCTTGACGACGAAGTCACTGTTAAGAAACAGAAAAATACCAATAAATTAACGTTTACAAAAAATCTTGTTGAAAATACCGTGCAGAAATCGAAAAAACCAGAAGTTTTAACCGCATTACTAATGAATGGCAGTTTATCATCAGTAGTAAACATAGATGAACAAAAGTACAGAATATACAACACTTGTGCTTTTGATTCCGTTGCCACGGTTATATCAAGAGCTTTTCTTGACAATAGTACGTATATAAATTTCGTCAACGCAAATTCAAATTCAGAATTTTTGAATTTTTGCAAAGCGGTAGCGTTTAGAGACGATGCGGACAATTTAAACAGAGAACGAGTGAAAATATTAAGGAGATTATTTAACGAAGATAGTAGAGTTTCGAATTTAAAAGTCATTAATTGTGAATGCAATGTGATGAAGATAATATACGATTTGTTAAAAGAGTGTCCGTCGTCAAAAGACCACATACGGTGTTCTAACGATGGTTGTGAAAATGCGAATAAATGTAGAAACAGTAGCACTATCATTTTAGATGAAACGAAACTCAAACACTTAGAGAATTTAGAAGAGATGGTAAATGAGTGTACTAAACAAAGGATTTATAATTGTGGTCTATGTACCGAACAAATTTCAGCGAAAAGAGTGTTGAGTTATCATTTATTTATTGAAACGGATCAAGTCAAAAGTACCAGTAAATTTGCAATGTCTGACATTCCACAGGAAATAAGAGTTGGGAAATATAAGTACCTTTATCTTTTTAATTATAATACATTTATGTAAATTAAATTCATTGATATTATTTTTCGATTTAGATATGTACTCAACGGATCCGTGAATTATGAGAGTGGACACTATACCAGCCACGTACGTCGCTTAAATGAAAACGTATGGGAAACTCACAATGATTTAAAGAGTCACATCAAAATATGCACGATTCCCGAAATTTTAATTGTCGAGCCACATTTGTTGGTTTATACTAGAAAGTAGAAATGAACATTTTCGTTGACGTATTTAATATTTGGGTAGGCAGTTACCACATAAGCTGATGACAGTGATACAGCGAAAACATCATCTTACCTCATATTATGCCACATCTTATTATTACTGCTTCCAGTTCTATTCAATTAACTTTTATAATATCTTTTTTTTTTGTTCGGGGGGGGNGGGGGGGGGGGGGGGGGAATTAATTCGGTTTTTGGTTTATATTGATAATTATATTATTTAATTCTACTTCTAACGATTTTTCTGATGGTCTCGTTCTGTTGTATGTGATATATTTGTGGTCACTGCCTGTCTTCAACCCTTCGATTTGTTATCCTCAAAATTATCTTCTGGGACTAATTTGCTGTTTACTCACTATCGTTCACAACATAATTTTTTTTAAATAAAAACTTACTTATTATTAACTATTATGTTATACATTTATAATAAAAACCATTTTTTGAAATAAAAATAAACAAGAATTTGATTATTAAATATATTTATTTGTCAACGAACAGATTCGTTTTTCATGATATACAGATATATATAAATAATATATTCATTTTTTACAGTAGTAAATTTGTAAATTTGTTGAAAATTATAATCATTGTAATTATTCTTATCGATTTGTAAACGGTATTTGTCTAAAGAAATTATAATGTATTTGTTTTAAAAATAATAGTTTAAGAAATAAATTACTGCTTTACGTAATATCTGTACGAATATCTATACTCCTAGGTACTTACGTACTTGTGTGTGGTGTTTGAAGTCTGAAATATATTCAACAATAATCAATAAAATCACCTGAATGTGGAATATTGTATTTTGATTAATTATTTCACATTTTATTCCTTCCGCCTTAAAAATTTAAGGTTCTCGCTAATTTAGAATATAATTAGATGATAATATTGTCCTTATTTTACTTACAATTACAATCACACATTCAAGCGATTTAACTTGTACGTAAATAAGTTATTATGTATGTATATAAATATTATTTATATGAAATACAAATTAATTAATAAACGCATTAATAATACAATTAATTATAATTATGATACAAATTTTGAAATTTAATCATTAAGTATTACAATAGATAAGAATCTAATGATATATATATGGGGGGGAGAGAATTTTTTATCAGCACATTAACGAAAAAAAACCGCTCACGGACTAATTTTTAATTTACATTTTAAAGTATGGATTATCATCAGGACTCGGAAATTATGGCACTTAGTACTAAGTCAACAAAAAGCGTAAAAATTCCTAATAAGCCCCGAAAGCAGAATATTTAAAAAATAAAAACAGTTAAAAGGTTTAAAATTCCTTCCTCTTTAGGGTCATTGAATAACATTTTCCAAAATTACGAAGATAAAAACTGAACGCAATAAAATGTTTTTCTGTTGAAATAAAATAATTGAACATTTCACTTAAAAAAAAAAATATTGCTGTGTGTTAATCTTATATATAGTGTTAGAAAATAGTATTTAATGAGTTAGAGCTACTACAGGGGAAACTTTTAAACTCATTTACAATTTTGAGATTTTTAAATATTTTTTTAATTATTTGAATTATTTTACCTATTTTAACTTTTTCTTGTTCTGTATCATTTTAAAAACAAAAAAAAACATGAAATATAATATTACAACGGTAACAAGTCAGCTAGATGACGGAAAATTCGACTCTAGTGATGGAACTCTGATGCTCAGTGCTGGGAATGTTGTTTTTTTTAAAACTATTATTATGTATTGAAAAGTTTAAATAGGAACATGGTTTTTCCGAAACACAATACAAAAATCTACTGTCTTAAAATAAATATATTTCTAAAATTATTACGCAAGTATCCCCACTTTATTGATTATAGATGATAATATACGTCTTAATAAATAAAAAATAAAGCCATTTTTTATTTCATATAAATAGATCAGCAATAATTTTTAAAAGAAGAAAAAGCACACATCATAATAAAAACAATGCATTACTCGCTCTATTTGGAATCTTAAAAAAAAAAAAAATTAAATAATGTATAAATATTACATGAATTAAATTGCTTGTGCAAAGTTTTTAGATAATAATAGTTTATTGATGTGTGCAAATAATAATAAAAAGTTGTACACAGAAAAAAAGAAGGCCGTACTATATTGTTTTAACTGATACCTACATTTCTTATATTTTCCCGTTTTTTTTTTCGGTTTTTCCCATTTGATGAGAAAACTTGAGAAAATCGAAAAATTACCACCTTAAAGTACCTCTCCGGGTAACTAAGGCATAATTTTTATGCGTAAATTGGTCTTTTCCTTTATCTTATCTATTGCTTCCTGGGTATACGCATTGAATATGATTAGGAATAGCGCGCATACAGACTAACATCAGTTAGGCCTTTCAAGCACTACAGTCATTATAATATAGTAACAAAAATTTCACTTATTTTATTTTAAGGGTAATTTATTATTTTTACAATAAAATAATAAGATCAATCGAATTATTATAACGCGTAATATACCATAATAATATAGTACCGATTGAAATCAACCCGTAAAATATTATCGTAACGCGAATCGGAAACAAATTAAACGAAACGAACATGTATTATTATATTACAAGTGATATAGTTAACCGTGACGATTGACTTCGAACTCGGTGGAACGCGGACGGCAATGGCGACAGTTACTGTGTATAGGGTGTCGTGTCGATAGCGTACGGGTTGTGTGTCGGACGGGAAAGGTGGGACGGGTCGGAGAACGGTTCTCGCGGAAATTAGCGTGCGCGGACCGGATCGGTGAATAATAAAAAAAAAAAAAAATATTTCAAACACGCGCGAGAACAATAGTCCGCTCACCGCGGGACTCGACGGTGGACGCCGGGATTGTATTGTGTACGGCGCGCGGTGTGAAATTAATAATGGAAAAATATTACGCGTACGCGCGGTAATGGACGTGTGTTTTATTTTTTTTTTTTTTTTTTTTAAAAAAATATATAGGTATCGCGGGGCGGNAAAAAAAAAAAAAAAACTGTAAAAAAAAAAATATCGCGCGCGGGTTTCGAACGCACGCCCCTCATCCGGGGTTCATTTTTCGCGCGGCCAATGGTTTCGGGACACTCGAAAACAATATCGTAGACACAATATAGTGCGGCGGCGACGGCAATGGCATTTTTTTTTTTTCTACGCGCGCGCGGGCGACCGTACACTACTAACATGCATACGCGACACCGAGCCCATTTGATGATAATTATGATTACGGGGCGGAGGTACATGGACGACGACGCCGGCGACGGCGTGTCGGCACCAAACGAAACACGCGGTTATGACCGGTGCCGGCCGTATACCGCGGGGCGTCTTACAGCCGGCGTCGCGAAATTCGTATCCATTTGTAGACACGTAGTCAAAAGACAAACGAATTTACTCATCCAATCGAGATAAATACAACGCCGAGTTATCCAAGTATACGTACTGATCTTACACGCAGTGCCGTATCTGTAGGATTCGTTTCTAGGGGGGTGATACGACCGAAACTATTTTGCACGTTGTGAGCCACGGGGACAATGAATATCCCCTCATTCGGACATCTGTCCCTTTGGCTCTCCTATTGTTATGATCATACCTTTCCAGTTTCCGTGCACTTTCCTACGCCGTGATTTTACTTAAAACTTTACCGACACCTACAATATTATACATATTTTAGTTTCATAATCGGTTAGATCATAAAATATTATCCATTCTCCGTGGTTTTTAAAATATATCATCCAACGCACTTCTACATTAATACCAATATCTCGACGAATGCAACTTAACATCGCTAAACCATTTAACCTCTTCTAAATTAAAAAAAAATAATACATTGCAATATGCATAAGTTTCTATATTGTTGTTACTGTTACTTATAGGTACCTACTTCAGATGTGTATGGATATAACTCACACTTGAAAATAACCGTTTTCAGACAAGCTGTAGAAATTGGCAAGGTACCATAGGCGAGTCTACGGTGGCAGCCTATGGTGACTGGACTGTCCCTGCAATTTTTTAAAGGCGCCGGTCAACCGATTGTTATGTCTACTGATGACTTACAACTGAATTAAAATACAATTTGTGTTATGCATTGTTTATAACAAAATATAATTTTCTATCAGTCTGTCAAAGTTATTATTCTATATACTAACACATCATATATTTTGAAAATTAACTTTATGGCGGTGTAATCCAGGCCTGTACATAAATAATATTTCTGTAGTCGAAAAATGAAATTCATGAAACAAGGAGGATGAACAAGAAAAGGACTAGATTATAAGAGCGGAGTTTTATAAAGCCTTAAGGAATCTATAGTATAAAAATGTAGCAGGTTTTGAAGGAATACAAGCGGAACTTTGGAAGGAACCTGGAAAGAAAGTTAAAAACGAATTATTTAAAAATAACAAAGATATTTACGACACAGAAGAGTTAATTGAGGATTATGTAAAAAGCTTCATTATACCCATTCCAAAGAAAGCAGCAGCGAAAAAATGTGAATAATTCCATACCATTAGCTTGCTATCCCATACCTCAAAGATATTAAAAAAAATCATATTCCAACATATTGTAGTCAAGATAGAGCAGTCACTGTCAGAAGATCAATTTAGATTCAGAAAAAACATGAGAACGAGGGAAGCAATTTTGGCATTAAGAATATTCATTCAGAAAAGGATTAGACAAGATGAACTCGCATAGCTTTTGCGGATATCGAAAAAGCGTTTGATGAGGTGGACTGAACAGTAATGTACAACATGCTGAGTAGAGTGGGGATAAAGGATGCGGAGAAGAGATT